GGCGTTCAGGGCACACCTTTCTTATGTGACCCTCCTTCTTACAGTGATAACATCGAATACTAGATGTTTTGCCACTATAAGACTTCTGTTGACTTTTACATTTCTTCTTGTCGAACTTACCATCCTTTCGCAAGAATTTTCCCTTAACGGCTAAACCTTCGCCCACCGTCGAAGGTTTATGCTCCTTTCGTTCGTTCAAGTTCTTAGAATACAAGGCTGATTGAACTTCTTCAAAGGTCAGGGACTCCCTTCCATACAAGAGAGTTTCTTTGAAGTGAGCATGTGTTCTGGGCAAAGCACACAGCAGCAACAGTGCTTGATCTTCATCATCGATCTTCACATCAATATTTTCAAGATCAAGAATCAGCTTGTTGAACATATCCAACTGCTCAGCCAACACTTTGTCTTCACTCATCTTGAATGAATATAAAGCTTGCTTCAGGTAGAGTCGATTCTCCAGAGATTTGGTCATGTACAAACTTTCAAGTTTCACCCATAATCCCGATGCTGTAGTCTCCTTTGATACCTGTCGAAGAACCTTATCACCAAGGCTCAACAATATTGTGATGTGGGCTTTCTCGATCATGCCCGTCTTTTCTTTTGCCGTTAACGCAGCGTCCATGGCTGCCTCACCCTTCAACGCTTCCAAACAACCCTGCTGAACCAATAGGGCTTTCATCTTCAAGCGCCACAGACCGAAGTCGTTGACTCCGGTGAACTTTTCAATCTCATACTTTGTTGAAGGCATCTTCTCCATGATCATCGCACCAATTTGTTATGAATCAGATACCTTTAAACAAAGTATAAATGGTTTCTTTATTATCAAGAAACATACAAGGGTTAGGGTTAATAAAGAAGACAAGGTAAAACAACAAGGAACAACAAGGATTGGTTATTAAAGTGCTATTCTTTTCTTTCTCTTAGAACAAGATTACAAGTATACAAGAATAACAAAATAACCTCTCTCCCTTAAAATTAGGATTTTATCTTCCTATTTTTCCTTTTGCCAAGATTGAGAAACTAGCATCCTATTTATAAGAAAAATAGCACACTAACCTAATGAGCTTTTTAACAATTACCCATTACAAGCCAACTTAGGGTACAAGCTAACTTAAACAATTGGGCTTACAAGCAAGGCCCAATTCAACATGCTAACAACCCTAACAATATTGACTAATGCATGTTAGAACAAACTTCGACTACAACACGCATTACTTGCGAAAAAAGTTCGATCCAACGTCTCACAGCATCCTTAGGAGTTAAAGAACCGTGATCTGAACCTAGCCAAATAAGTTGATATTTATTGTCAGGAGGAAAAATTGGATGTCTTCTATTTTGTATTTCAGAAAAGGGAAAAGATTTGCAGGTTCAAGGAGTGATCTTGCATGTAGTCAACAACTTTAGATTGAGGATTAATTGAACTATGGAAATCCAAAGTTGAGTCAAGGAAATTGAGAAGAGGTTCACCGCACTAATTGGCTTTCCAAAAATTAATGTTCTCCAATTAACCATTGAGATTGATCCCTAGTGCAAATAAACTCAGGTTTTAAGCTTTTCCAAATAGAAGATGAGATGTTATAAGTGATAATACCATAACTTCTAAGAACTCTCCATCTAATGATGCACACCCATTCTTCCTCAGATCCAAGCATTTCCCAAGCTAACTTTAAATTTGTAGCTTCATTCAGGCAGACAAGACATTTAATCCCTAGACAACCAGTATCTTTAAGCTTTCTCACTTTTTTTACAAGAAATGGTCACCAAATATATTTTATTTATTTCTTATCCCCATATGAAATTCCTTGTAGCTCTTTCAATGTATTTGAGAAGAGAACCCGACCAAGAATAAATACATATGGAGTGTGTGATCATAACATGGATCATAATTTGGACTAAGATGGTTATACCATCAATAGAGACAAAAGAGACCTTCAGAGCTGGGAGTTTAGAAGCAAGTTTGTCAACAATAGGTTGGAGGTGGGAAACCTTGATCCTACCTTTGAAGATGGGAATTCCAAGGTATTTAAAAGGAAGGTAACCCTTATGAAAACTAGCGTAATGAAGGGATAGTTTGGCCTAGTTGGTGACATCCCACTAGCAAAAAGAAATTATTTTGAAGGGATAAAGGACTCCCTAAATATCAGAGTATAGTTAGAGTAGGACTTGATGAAAGTTTGGATGTTGGACTTGGTGATTTTGTAAAAGATCAAAATTTCATCGGCATAAAATATGTGAGAATGGATAGCTAACTATTTAGAGCTCATGATAAGCTTCATGTGACCATCAGTAACCATTTTGGAAATGCTTCTGCTGAAAACCTCTTCAACCAAACAAAATATCTTAGAAAAGAGAGGATATCCTTGCCTAGCACCCCTACCACATTTGAAGTACCCATGCGCAACACCATTGATGATAACATACAAGTGAAAAAGGTCAATAATAGAATAGATCTAATGGAAAAAACAAGTAACAAAGTCAAACCTCTCCAAAACCATTACAAGGAAACTCCAATTTAATGTATCAAATGCCTTAATAACATCTACCTTAAGAGCTAAGTTACCACTAAAGCATTTCTTGTCTAGAATGTTTAAAGCCTCTAAATCCAAGAACATAATCTTTGATATTCCTACATCTGATAAAATCCTTTTGCTCCTTAAAAATAAGTAAAAATGTGATACAAGCAAGCAGCTAGAATTTTAGAAATTATCTTGAACTTGAAGTTGCACATGGCTATGAGCCTGAACTTGACAATACTATATGAATCCTTAGACTTAGGCATCAAAACTACAGAGCTAGAGTTATCGTTTGAGAATTTATCTTGAAGAAGAAAAATTAAAGAACAACTATGCACACATCATTCACTATTTTCCATTATGTTTTGATAAAAGATACTTCCAAAGCCATATGGCCAAAGAGAGCTATCTTTGTTAAGGTTAAAACTACAACTTGAATCTCTTCATAGCATCAGGAACCAAAAAGGGAATCACCCCATCAATTAAAGAATTAACATAACCTATAGCTACATGTGAAAACAAGTTAGTGAAATATGAAACAATATGTCTATAGATCTCTTGAGGGTCAATTAGGGTTGTCTCTTAATCCTTGAGCAAAGTGATCCGAATGTTGGACTTTTTGATTTTGGTCATTCTTTAGAAAAATGTCATACCCCAATTTTCACCCTGAATAAACGAATCGATATATGCATTATGACATGCATTTCATCTCACGTAATCCCTAAAATATTGACCATAATAAATTTTGGATTTACACACAAACCGTTTGAACTTATTATCAAATGTACGTGAAATTAGTGGGCGGAAAATTTTAAAATCGAGCTTGCAGACGTCAATTTTATTAATCTACGGTTTGCACAGTTTAACCTGTCGTGTTCATCTTATTTTTTGTCTACTTTTTAGATCGCATTTTGATTAGCCTGAGCTTTTTAACCAGTCACTTTTTATTTCAAAATTCAATCAAAACTTGTATGTTTCCAAAAGGTTTATTATTCTACACTGATTATTTTGGTGCATTCAATTTAGTTTTTCAAACATTTTTGCGCTCGACTTTTATTCATTTTTAATCATTTTATTTTTAATTTTCTAATCAAAATAATCAGTATAATTAATTAGGATTAATTAGATAATTAGATTGGATTTATTTTGAGTAATTAATTTTCATTTTAATCACTAAGTTTGTTTCTAATATATTTAAAATAAAAAAATAAAAGAAATAACAAGCCCCCAATGAGAGAATTTTTTTTCCATGTTATTAAACATTAAATACTCTTTTGCCACACATTTCAACTATATATATACCATATTGCCATAGTTTCAAACAAAAAAAAAGGACACGTAAGCACTGCCGCATATTGAAAAGGCAGCACACTTCAAAAATGTACTCTGTCGCCCATTGAAAAGGAGGGAATGTCTAAATTTTTATACACTGCCGCCCATTGAAAATGCGACACCTTTTAATATTTTAACTCTTCCGCCCATTGAAAGGGCGGTAACCTTGTATCAAAAACACGTTTTTTTTAAAAACATGACATTATGGTATATTTATTGAAAATTATGGTATTATGAAAAAAAATTGTAATAACATAATAGAGCAAAAAGAAATTCCCAATGAGAAGTGGACACGCAACCACTAATTAAGGGATACATCAACATTTTGCCAGCTATCAGCTTTGGGGTGATCTGGAAAAAATAAAGGGATAAAATCAAGGATAAGAAAAGAAAAACAGGCAACAGAGTAAATCCACTCCCTTCACTTGCTCGAAGCCACGTGCACCTCCTCAATTGTAAGTTCCTCTAAAAATTCCAAAGTGAAAAAGCATGGCTACCAAGTTCGGACAACTATGATTAAAAGAGGAAGGAAAACTCATTTGGGAAGTTACACGCGAGAAAAATACCTTCACTTTCACTTTTTTTAGTTTTGCTATCCCAATGTCCTCTCTCTCACACACACAGAGATAAAAAAGAAAAGGAAAAAAACACAAAAAATAAATAAAAAGGCTTCACCCATTGAGAAGGAGACAATAGACTATCCCCAAGGTCTCTCTCTTATTTTCAGAATCCACACTAAAATATGATATAATAGTCATAAGGAGTTTGAAAGTGAAGGCCATTTGAAGTCTTTTTTTTTTCCATCACTCTATTGAAAGTTGGAATCATGTTAAAGAATAGAAATTTTAAGTCCTTAAGTATGCACAATTGCAAAAGAAACCTCCAATCAAGACAAGAAACAATATGTAAGTAACTGAATTCATATGTATGCATAACATAATCACTTATTCTTCAACAACATAATTTATTAGAATATATATTGAGTTTGTAAACATGTTATATATATATATATATATATATATATATATATATATATATATATATATATATATATATATATATATATATATATATATATATATATATATATATATATATATATATATATATATATATATATATATATATATTCTTGCACGACAATTGAATTCTCTGTTAGCTTGTAACTAATATCTTCACGGATATCTCATAATCCTCGTTAAATTCCATGCCTTTGAATTGGTAAAAGGTAGGTCTCAACCAGTTCTGAGTACAAATTAAAGCTTCGGCCATTTCTGATTTGAGAGAGCTTCTGTATACCTCTAAAACCCTCTCACTCGTGCTAAATGCACTCTCAGAAGCCACAGTTGAAACTGGTGTAGGCATGATATCTCTAACTATTTGGGACAGAACCGGGTATTGACCCGCATTATGTTTCCACCAACAAAGAATGTCGAACTTTTCTTTATCTTTTTCATTGAAAGTTAAACATTTTCCAGCAATATAACTTTGAAGCTCGGTTTCTTCTTCCACTGAATCAATAGACATCAAATGTTCCTGAAAAGCATTTTCTCTAGCTATATATGTGGGTAATTCATCACTGGCAGCCGTTTCACCATGAGAAACAGCAGCTGCAACAGATGTGACTGAGCCTCCAGCAATGTCATGGGCTTGTTTGTAAAGATCAAACATCTTTGAAAGATTGTCATTGATATCTTTTAATACGGATTTCTTAGTGTCTGAATCTTTTCCATACATATCATCAAAGCACCATTCCACATATCTTAACTTATACCGGGAATCAAAAATAATAACAAAATAAAGGAGCTGGTTCATCTTAGTGATATCAACCCAGTACTTACAAAACTTTTCCAACATGTCCCGTGCTACATTTGCAAACAATCCATTAAGGTCCATGTTTAATTTCTTAAGTTCAATGTAGATTTCAGTCAAGAATGGAAAAGCAGTATGCAAACTTGCTTTTGTTGAAACAGAAAAAACCTTTGTCGCTTCATAATATTTCTTCAAAAACTTAATAAAAACTCTAACATTATCCCAATCTTGACTACTAGGTGGGGAATCACCGTCAAATAAATCCCTATAGTCTTCATCCCCATCTTCTAGTTTATCAAAAGCAGTTTGAAATTTCTCAGCCGCATCTAACATCAAATATGTCGAGTTCCATCTAGTCGAAACATCAAGACATACTGACTTCTTACATGTAATCCCGACATATTCCACACACTCCTTGAACTTTAAAGCTCTATGGAGTGAAGATCTCACAAACCTAATAGCATTTCTAACACTTGAAATTGAGGTGCTGGCTACTTTTAATCCATCTCTAACAACCAAATTCAGTATATGAGCACAACACCTCATGTGAAACCCAAACCCATCCATTAAAAGTCCATTCATATTTCTGATTTTCTGCTCTAAATATTTAACAGCAACATCATTTTATGCCGCATTATCAACCGTAATGGTAGAAACATTTCTCAGCCCCCACTCCTTCAATACATCCTCAACCTTCTTACCAACCGTTCTATCACGGTGATTTGGAATAACGGTAAAGCTAATAATCCTCTTTTGGTAATTCCAATCCCTATCAATAAAATGGGCAGTTAGGGTCAAATAGTTTAGATTTTGGACAGATGTCCAACAATTTGTTGTTATTGCCACCCTACTACAATCAGATTTAAAGAATGCCTTCAACCTCACTTTCTCATCAAGATATAATTGAAAACAGTCCCTAGCTATGGTTCTCCTTGACGGTATAGAAAATTGGGGCTGCAATTGCTTACAAAAGTACTTGAACCCCTCTCCTTCAACTGTAATAAAGGGTTTCTCATCCAAAATGATAAAATAAGCTAACCCCTTTATACAACCTACAGGATCTAACTTAGAACTTGTTGGAACCAGTCCAACTCCCTGAGTTGTTGAAAATGTCAAGATTGTTTGGGTGGGGTCAGTTGACAAGTTCAACAGATACTTAGGGCATGTTTTCATGTGACTCTTTAAGTTTGAAGTTCCATGTTTCTTTGAGTCACACATGTACATTTGATGGCAGTATTTACAGGCAGCAGTAGGGGGGTCACTATTAAGAATAAGGTTAAAGCAATCCCAAACCTCAGATCTCTTTCTATTACCATTAGCATTAGGTCTTCTTTTCTTAGGAATATGCAGAAGATTTGTGGTTGGTTCAATAGGTGTTGCGGTTGTTGGTACATTAGGTGTTGTGGTTGTTGGTACATTAGGTGAGGTTAGAGAATGTTCATTAGTAATTGGAGGGTCTTGCTCCATAACTGAGCAAATAAGCAAAGCCAAAAATAAACACAAATGAATAACCAAACATAGACACAAATAAGCAACTAACACAAATAATAATAATAGTAATTGGAGTGCACATTGAAGAGAATAAACACCTGAGTAAATTTGGAAGTCAAATAATAATAATACTGCTAACCCTTGCTAACCCTTGTGAACCTGAATCTTTACACATAAACCTGCAATAAAATATACCAATTATATGACAAGATGGAAAGGCAACAAAAAATCAATATTCACCATTTAACATAATCTAACAAAATATATGGATGGTCACATAACTGAATCAAAAGCTTAAGAGAGACGATGATGGCGGTACCGAGAGATAATGATGGAGCTGCATTAACCCTAACCTGAAACCAACAAGGATGATGGTTTGTGTGTTAGTTGAGAGAGAGAGAGAGAGAGAGAGAGAGAGAGAGAGAGAGAGAGAGAGAGAATTAACCTGAAAGTTGGAGAGCAACGACGGTCGAAGGTTGTTGGAGTGGTAACTGAAAAGGTTTATGCAAAGCCATTGAAATTGAGATGGGTTTCTTCAAACCCTAACCCCTGTGAAGAAGAAGCGTGTCTTCAAACCCTAACTCATGTGAAGAAGAAGCAGAAGCGTGTCTTCAAACCCTAACCCCTGTGAAGAAGAAGCGAAGCGTGTCTGTGTAATGTGAAATAGAGATGTGAATAAGAAGCGTGTTTGTGAAGAAGAAGCGGTCGGTTTCGGATTACGACGGGTCCCAAATTACAAACCGAATCCGACCATCCGTATCCATTAATATCCAATCAAACGGTCCAGAAATATCCGTCATCCGAATTAAACCAACCCGTATTGCAAAATCCATTTTGGATCGGTCGGGTAACATCGGATGGTTGAAAAGTGTGAGAAATAAAAAGCCAAAGAAATTGAGTTTTGATAAATTTGACACATAAAACAATGACATGTGTAATATAATAAAATACGAAAAAGAGATTTAATTTAAGTAATTTAAATTTTGAGAAAAAACTAATTCTGTGTTCTATAACAAGTGAACTATCTAAAATAAAATAAAAGTGTTTTAAAATGAATAATTTATTTAAATTTTTAATATATTTTTCTAATTTTATCTTCTATTCCGTTCATCTTATAATAAATGTCTCATTTGAGTTCTACGCAATTCTTAAAAGATAATTAAATGTATTAATTTTAATGATAAAATTAATATCTTTTATAAAAATATTTTTATTTATTATAATTAGTAGAGTAGTTAAGTGAAAAAATAATAATTATTGTATTAATATTTTAAAAAGATATTCATTTTAAGATATAAAGAAAGAGATAGAGGTAATTTTATTTTTAATAAATTAGTATATATATATATATATTTTATTTTTTTTAATTTACATAAAAAAAAATTAATTGATTTACTCGATGGAGGTTGGATGGAGTACTAATTGATTTACTCTGGGTTGGACAGAGTACTAATTTTAAAAGTGTGTGCAATTGAATTGTACGTGGTAGATATCATCTTGAGATTCGACACCCCATGGTAGCAGTACTCGTAGATTGGGATTTCGCCCTCACCCCACCCCCACCCCACCCCACCTCAAATTACTAAAGAAATCTAGATATGTCGGGACCTTCTCGTCTTCTCATCTCATAAAGTCACTATTCCATTATCTTTCTCTATATAAACACTTTCAAGCCTTGTCTTTTTTTCACACCCACTCACTCATTTCTTCTTCTTCTTCCACTACAATTTATCTTGTTATTCTCTCTCTTACCACATCCATGGCTGATCAAGTGATTCTTCTAGATTACTGGCCAAGTCCCTTTGGAATGAGGCTCAGAATAGCCCTCGCTGAAAAGAATATCAACTATGAGTACAAAGATGAAGACTTGAGGAACAAAAGCCCTTTGTTGCTACAGATGAACCCTATTCACAAGAAAATTCCTGTCCTCATTCACAATGGCAAACCCATCTGTGAGTCTCTTATTGCTCTTCAGTATATTGACGAAGTTTGGAATGATCAATCTCCTTTGTTGCCTTCTGATCCTTACCAGAGATCACAAGCTAGGTTCTGGGCTGATTTTGTTGACAAGAAGGTATATAAATTAAATAATCATTCATTGTATGTTGCTTACAATTTCTTCATCATTGTGCTTTTTTAGACCCTTTTCCCCTCGTTGATGAAAGTTTTATTCTTTTCTATTTCTAGTATTAACTATTAAGGTGTGTCACATCACAGTGTCTGGCTGGAACATACCCACTTATGGAAAATCTTACAAAAATTATTTATGGCATTCCTATTCTGTTTCTATAAATCTGTTGCTTATTATGGAGAAGTTTTAAAAATAGTTTATTTATATTTTACACTTTCATTGTGAAATAGATCTATGAAATTGGAAGGAACCTTTGGACCAAAAAAGGAGAAGAGCAGGAAGCTGCAAAGAAGGAATTCATAGAAGCCCTCAAACTCTTGGAGCAAGAGTTGGGCGACAAGACTTATTTTGGAGGAGACAAGCTTGGTTTTGTGGATGTTGCACTTATTCCATTCTACACTTGGTTTAAAGGCTATGAGACATTTGGTAACCTGAATGTAGAGAAGGAGTGTCCCAAGTTCATTGGATGGGCTAAGAGATGTATCAAGATTGAGAGTGTTTCAAAGTCTATTCCTGATCAGGATAAGGTCTATCAGTTCATTGTGGAGATCAGGAAGAAGATAGGCATTGAGTAGGTGTGGCTTATTGTGATTGTGCCATTCTTACAAAGAATCAGAACATGCACTAAATGATTTCAGTTGTTTTAGCCTTTCTAATAGAATAGTTATGTAATAAAAAGGCACTTTGATGTGCCAAGCTTTGTGGTTTTAGTAGGTAAGATTTGGAAAAACTTGTGAGTTGTGATTGATGTTTGATCTGTTTGTTCTTTGAATTGAATGTTTATTCATTGTTATGCATGGTGTAATGTGAAGTATTTATATTTTAGTAACTGTTATTGTGATTGATCTTTTTGTTATTTAATTTTTCATCATTCTTATATATTGACAACACCAACCAAACACCTGTACCACTCATTCCTGCACTCAACTTCAATTTTTTTATTGCAGTCTGTTACTCTTGTATCTCAGCAATGACAGATGAGGTGATTCTGTTAAATTTCTTGGCAAGTCGTTATGGCATGAGGATCCTAATTGCACTTGAGGAAAAGGGTATCAAGTATGAGAATAAATTCAGATTAATGTTTTTAAACAGTAACAGAACAAGGAGTGCCATTGGTTTTGCTATCTGTGCTCTTTTGAAAGAATATTTCATATTTGAAGCATAGGTTTAGGTGTGTACATCAAAGTTGTATGAGTTCATACTTTAGGAATTAAAGGTATATAGGATGACACAACAACTATAAAAGTGTATGGAATAACAATGTTGAAAATCCATCTGAAATCTTAAACTGGGTAGGTCTTAAGAGGAGAATTATCCGTGTGAACATTAAGATTGTTGATTAGAAAGTTAATATGCACTCTTTGAAAGGAAAAACTATGCTGTCTTTTAGTAAGAATTATTATTTATATAAAAATGAAACTACGAACTTCACGGCTAGAAAATTATGTAAAAAAAATTTATGATAAAAAATTTGTGAAATATAAAAAAATAATGCAGAATCACATTAAAATTAATAATTGTTTAAGAACGTTTTTTCACAAAAAAAATCACAATTCCAAGAAATATTTTTTATAATTTTTTTTTTTACACACATTTAGGGTGTTCTAAACAATATGGATAAGCACAAGTGTGCACAAGTGTAAGAAATCGAGTTACCTTCAGCCATTTTTGTGTTTCTCAGGGAGTTTTTGGACTCCGACTCCAACAAATTGTTTTGAGATTCTTCCAAACTCTTTCTCTCACTTCTTGATGATATTGGTGGTTGAAAGTGTAAGGAGGCTTAGGGACCTTAAAACTTTGTATTTGTAGCCCCATAACCATCAATGGGCAACATCACAATTCCATGATTTCAGCCTTTAAAGTACGTTACATTTGATAAACAATATTTTTTAACAAATAAAAATTGAAAAACAGAATTTTTAGGTGAACACGATTAGAACAAAGGGAGAAAAAAGAAAAGATAAAAAAGAAAGAAGAAGAAGGATTAGGGTAAATTGCTATACTATTTACTTTCTCAATATTACAAAAAATTATAAGTAAATAACACAATCTTACCACACTCAACAAACTGAGTGAACTAGCCTATATATAAACTAACTAGATAACATGCAATCCAAGTTAACTAAACAATTAGATCTTTAACACAAGGCCAAATTCGACAAACATTTCGATAATACATATTATGAGAACAAACTTCGACTATAATATGTATCCTTCGACCACATCATGTGACCCATCTTCGACTTCATGTTTGTCTCCTGTCGAAATACATGAAAGCTATTTCTCGAAAGAGGTAGAGTTCGACCCAAAATCTTACAAATCTCCACCTTGCATCTAACTCTACAAACAACAGGAAATAAACTAACTTTCATCATGCAGCTTTATCAACTGCATACAGTGGAAAAATTTGTAACTTGACAACCTCTTGGTGATCATATCAGCAGCACTGTCTTCAGTCGAAACCTTAAGCACCTGGACTTCATTACACTCGATTATTTCTCTGGCAAAGTGCAGCCTCACATCGATGTGCTTAATTCGCTCATGATAGACTGAATTCTTCAACAAGTGTATTGCACTTTGACTATCACATTTAACAGTGATACTTCGACTTTGAAGTTTCAACTTCTTTGCAAAATCTTCAAGCCATAATGCTTCTTTCACAACTTCGGCGATGACAATATATTCTTCTTCAGTGGTTGATAAGGCAACAACCTTCTGAAGCGTTGCTTTCCAACTGATTTCTGTGCCGAACATAGTGAACACATATCCAGAAATAAACTTTCTGGAATTCATACAACCTGCATAATCAGAGTCGACAAACCTTTCGATTTCGACTTTGCTATCATCACCACAAGCTCCACCATAAATCAAGACTCTCTTCAGAGTGTTGCACCCTAATTTTTGACCATAAGATCCCGCCTCTCTTTTTTTTTCTATTTATTTATTTATTTATTTTTTCCTTTCCTACTTGATGTCTTTACTACTATTATGAGTGCGTTTTTTACAGGCACATTAATCTCGCATGAAGATAATACTCGGGGATTTAACTAGCTGGTTCTTTCATGATTTATTGAGATTAAAATTTTGAACAGGATCGGTGAAAGCTTTTCGTATCAAGGTGTTTCATTTTTAATATACAAAGTCCAACTCATTCAAATTTCAAGAGTTTCCAACTACAAACAAATAATAGAAAAATAGTACGAAGATATCATCTACTAAGGCTATATTTGATCTTCGAAAACTGATGTCTAACCGGAGGTGTTCCTTTTAGAAGGACAACCAAAGATGATTTAATGCGAGGAAAATCATTTTTTAATATTGGTTCGCTTGATCATGGTGACCATTACGCAGAAGTTATATCAAATCCAAAAAGTTATAAATCCTATATTGGAGTTTCTACAAACAACCAGCGTTGATATTTTGAATGTTAAGGATGATCAATCAAGTTCAGCTGTAATATATGTTCAAAATGGACTGGATAGCACAAGCTATATAGGCGTAGGCTAGCATATAGCTCCAGAGTTGTACAACAATCATAACACTAATTTATATGCAGTATGGACAATAGATAATTTCAAGCATACTGGATGTTTCAATGTACAATGTCCAGGATTTGCACAAACTAGTAAAGAAGACTATCTTGATGGACGAATTGGGACGACGTCTGTTTACGTCGAAGCTATGATTGCAATGACATTATCTATTTCTCAGGATCCTGAAACAAAAACTAGGTGGTAGAAGCTTTGTTGGCAAGAACTTTAGGAAATCCATTCAGACTCCATTATCAGCAACATCCAAATTACACAAATTCAACTTTTACATATACACTACACCCCATTACTCTGTCACATAATACACTCCAATTTTTAGAATACACTCAACTCAACATGGATTGAGATCCTATAGCATCGTATTATTCACGAGCAGTTTGTGTCGTAATTTACAAGTCCCAGCAACTCCGGACCTTCCAACCAAGGGTTATTCTCAAAGCTGCAACAAAACAGAACAAGGGTAGTCAATGCGAGTAATGAAAAAAAAAGGAACATACAGCTAGCGGAATGTGTTCAAGCTTCTAAACGTTTCAGAATCAGAGCACCCAATTGCAGTAATAGCAGCCATGAATGACTAACAGTATCAGACGAAAATAACTTGACTGTCGCAATAGGGCAATATATACATAAGCATTTGCCACCAACAATTGGAGAACTAATCAGAACAGACCTAATAGATAAATTACAAGTTAAGAGCCAAGTTAAATGGATTTAAGTGCAGCAATCTCACATCCCCATCCCACGGCAGTTCTCCAAGTCCCCTCGTCAGGAATTCAAAGCATAACATCATACATGATCAAAATGAATTAAAACCAAGAAACTCCAATGCAATGTCAGAAGCTAGAACTCAACTCCGTCCAACCACGCCCTCGAGACCTGCAAAAACCCAAACGGTAATCAGAATGGGCCATTAACAGAAATAGAAGTAGAAGTAGAGTTAATCTGGTTCAGAAGCAAACAAAGGCCAAACACCAGTTGAATCCAAAATCCCACCCTGATGTATAAGTCAAACTCATGCCATATTACAAGCAAAACAAGGCAAAGTTAGTGAAGCAAAATGGTTTCACCTTTTCCAAATTCTGTAGTGTCCTGCAACTATACACTACACCAGTCGGGTAAAATCGAAGAGGTGTGAACAAGTAGAAGCTCGCAAATTGAAGGGTACAACCCTAACTTCCACCGACGCGTTTTAAACATATACGCGCAACCTGCATTCACAATGAGAGGTCAGAGCATCAGCCAGCTGGGAACAACATACAATAACGTTCATGATTAAATTGAGAAAGCGAACTTACCGCCGGCCAGCATGCCGCAGCTTCATCCTAACCAGTCCTGCAAACACACATACAATCTCATTCAGAACACCATAAGATAAGCTCGAATCGAAATACATTTAAGCCCACAATCTTAACATTACAACCTACTAAAATAGATTGTTAGTCTAGAGATTAGTTCCTATCACTAAGGGGGCTTGACTTGTGAAGTTTATTTCCATGTGGAGAGGTTCATGTCGGTGGTCCACCACATCAAATTAGAACATGTAATGTTAGAAGAAGCTTGTCAAAGCAAAGAGCTCAGTCGGGTCATAGATGGTATTGGACATATTCTGCATCTTGTTGAGTCATTTCATCTATACGACATAGGTGGAGGACCGTTTCACATGATGAATTGCTTCAAGTGGACCGAATTCCTGCAATTGTCGAATGGTGTATCCAAGCAGACATCCACCCTGCAGAACAAGTTGCCTTATATCTCTGAACTAAACAACCCGCAAGTCATCATCATCAATATTTGGAAGACCAGCATGATAAAGCCATATCAGCCGGGCTCTTACGGAATTAAGCAGTTCCTACAAACAAAGGATAATTAGAACAAAGAGAAGATCAAATTGGAAGTGGCAAGCAATCAACCACAGGTATTGATGACAAGTGAAAACCAATGGACGTGAAAAAGATGGAAGACAATTAAGAGTAACAAAGACAACCACACGCTTTGGTTAGAAAGAATCATAGTAAATCAAAACA